CCAGACTCGGCACCGAATGATCCTGAATTCACCGGTAGATCAGACCACACTACCCGTTTTCATGGTGTGTGTCAGATCGCATTACACAGTATCAGACGCGACACCGCTCTTGTCTTGTACGTGATGTGATAGTGACAATTCTCAGCGGGGTTGAAAAGCATTGCATCACCACTCAAAATTTGTTCAGGGTATGATACTGTGTAATGCGATCTGACACACACCTTGAAAACGGGTAGTGTGGTCTGATCTACCGGTGAATTCAGGATCATTCGGTGCCGAGTCTGGTAGTTGGGTAGGCCTGATAATGTCTCGTAGTTTTTCAACGGGCCCTTGAAGGCTATAAGAACTTCTACATTTGATACATGAAAAATCTACTTTACATAATTATAAGATAATAACAAAAGAGTCTTTGAAATTACTTTTTTAGAAAAACGAATAAATTAAGTTTTAAAAATAATAACCTTGGATAAGTGCAGCATTTAAAAGGTCCCCATTACCTTTTACATATAAGAATGTCCTCATTTCATAAATATGAAAAAGCGCCAAATACCGCGTCAACCACAAATATAGCCACCAGGGACGTCAGTTGAATGAATCGGTTAGGTACTTGACTTAAGCTAAGTTTAACAAAAGGGAGGCACGAAATTTGAAAGCAAAATTATTATTTGTGATTGGCTGAAAATTTAATGTATAAATTCCATGAAATAGTCTAATCAAGCTGGTTTTCAAACTCAAGCTGTATTTCATTCCTTATAATCTTATCTGTAAGTTTGAGAATAATAAATAACATGTTTTTTTAATGGTTATTATGGTGGCCAGTGGCCAAAATAGGGTTTAATTTTGATGCAATATCACGGAATAACATAATTAACACCGATTTTTAATATTATGATATAAGTATCATAGATATTCAGAAAATGTGACCAGCAAACGTATTCAGGCACACAAAAGTCCAAATCCACCCAGTAAATGCCAATATGTGAAAAATTAACATTTCACAAAAAACTGCATAACTTCCAGAAAGGTAATCCGATCAGGCTGGTTTTCAAACTCCAGCTGAAATAATAGTCCAATCACGATGAGTTTTGGAACTCGACCTATGAGCTGTGAATATTCATCAGTTCAATAAGTTTCAAGACAACAGGTCAAACAGTTTTCCACCTATCGTGTCATCTATAAAAGTGAACAGCGACGACAGCAAAGACGCTGGCCGCGACAACAGATACAGGCGATGGCTATATGTACTGACACGATAAAAAGTGCAGCAACCCACAAATAAATAGATAAATAAATAAATACGTTTTTCTTAGCTTTGAAAATGAAGTCAAATTGAATAGTAATGATACTGGGATAATGAAAGTTCAAGGAGAGATCGTTTATTTTCTGTTTATCCGTTCAATTTGAGCACAGATATTTATTTGTTTTGCATAATCCACATCAACTGTTCCTCAACAATGGCCAGCTGCTGTTGTTGTTTTATCATAGACTCCAATAAATCTTGGTATTGTTGAAGAAGTAGGAGCTGGAGACTTTTCTCTGCGAGGGTGAATTCTTGTTCATTCTAAAAAATAAATATAAATATATAGGCGAGTAAAAGCTTAGACAATAAATGATTTGAAGAAAGATAACTTGACTGCTATTCATATAACCCTTGTTAATTGCGCTATTTGACCATTTGAAATCTCTTTTTTTTTTGTTATTATTGACATTTATCATTAAAAATAGAAAATAAATAAAATTATTATTTTCAAAACTTATACCTCGTTTTTGCCTGTCTGCATCTCATCCCTGGCGGTGTTTTGCCCCGAGTTAAGAGACATGGTAGTGATCTCTGCAACCATCTCCGCGAAAAGCTCAGTCTCCACAGTGTGGCTGATATTTCGTGTAACCTGCAGTAAAGGAAATGATAATTTTCAGATTTTTTTTTCGATGGCATGTGTGATTCGTTCAGTTAAAAGACCGTCGCTCTGATCCCATCGTCTTTTAAAATTGACATTATCTTAAAAGGGAAGTAAGTCTTAAGAGGGAATGTGTAGAAGGTGTTTATTTTCATGGGGCATTTGGTTCGGGTCAATCGCTCTCTATAGTTATCTTTATTTTACTTGAAATGGATTAACATTTACCTACAGAAAAAATATAATTGTGAAAGAAACTGCTATCTTTTTGTAGGGTCAGGTTGATTTCCGTTTTGAAATTTAAGTATTCTTACTCCCTGAATCAATGAAAGTTATGCGTCATTGGTCATTTACGTTAAGTGTGGATTAACACCAAGTAAAACATTCGGGCAGAAACGACCACGCTTTGCAAACTGTCAGAAGAAGAATTAGACCCCATTTCCATAGACACTATCGGTCTACTTGGATCAACCCAACTCCGCGGGGAATCTCGCTAATAGTGCAATCAGTTTAACTGAATGACGCCTCCTCTTGTTTTCAACGTACTCGCATGATATCACCAGTTTTTCTGTATTTTGCTTAACGCCAGGTGGAGGCGTGTCATTCAGTTAGGCTGATTCCAGTCAGCCAGAGACTTCGTAGAGTTAGGTCGATCCACGTAGACCGATCGTGTTTATGGGAAGGGGGCCTGAGACAAATGTTAAATTGACTGTCCAAAGATCTGCGTGACTGCAATTGTTAAGTAATAAAACTCGTTTTTAACTGTTTAAAAAAAAACATTTACCTTTTTATCATTCCCGAAAGTTATCGTGTCGACATTATCATTCTTTAGTCTCCAACATCTCAGTAAATAACTTTCGAGAAATGACTTAAGATACATTTGTTCAGACTAGTAGTTGTATTCGTATTATAAAAAAGTAATAGGCGATTGTATTACAAAAAGGACTTAAGTCAGTATACTTTGGCCCATATACTTAGGTCTCGTATCGAGAAAGTTCCATCAAATAAAGCATGTCAAGGTCCCCTGACTCTCCCTTTTGTCACCTTATAACTAGGCCCCTTGAGTGCACTGTGGTTGTCCCAACGAAAATGATTTGCCCTAAAAGGTTACAGTAACCCACAGCAGGTATGTCAGTCCACCTCATGAGTAGTCCATCGAAAACCAAGAAGACATGTCAAATACGTTCATTATGGGTGAATCACTCCTAATAGCTCAATACCAATATGAATATTGAATGGTACGTTTATTTTGTGTGATCAGTATGACTATTGTACGGTGCTGTACGTGTCGGTTATTTGATCTCGGTTGTCTTAACCTAGGGACTCGTGAACTTTTGTGAAACAGGCCATGGTTCAGCCCTTTGACCTAAGCTTGGACAAGAAAGCAAAACATTAACGCTGTTACAGTTACATTCACAGTTATATTGCGGTGTCAAGTTCAGGTACATGTAAGACTGACCTGAAAAAACGGCTTGAAAATATTGACATATTGGTGACCTACAGAGGCTTTAAACTAAATAGAGTTTCAAGGAGACGCACTTGATGACATTTACGACCCATTGAGCTGTTTGCGTGTATATAGACTATACAATTCAGACACAAATTGGAAGTGTCTGTGCAAGATTGGTAGAAGATCATGTTATTTTCATGTCATTGTTTATTTATTTATTTATTTATATAGAAAAAATTCAGCAACTTTAATCTCAACAGCAGATATAGCCTAACTGAAAAATAAATAAGTGCATTATTACATGTATAGGAATAGGCGAGAGACAGCCGTACAAAATTTATACAATATACCACAATAAAGTAGCAACTACTTGGATGTAACAGTATCAGTAATTAATTTGCATTAAAATATAATTTGCACATTTGATATAATTTTGTATAACTAACTTAAAATTGTAACCGTAGTTTACTAATGTAGTTAAATAATATAGGTAGGTCAAAGTCATTGTAAAAGGTCCCTGTGCAGAAATTTTGTGATATATCATGATTGCATAAATAATCCGATTAATCTGATTTTCGGACTTGGCCTTTTGCCAAGTAAAACCACGCAGTAAATTTTATGTTGAACAAAATTATGCACTTACAGTAAATGTGACAAACAACAAAAGTTGTAATAATAATCATTATTATTAATTTGAGTCTAAAATCCAAATTTGTTCAGTAGACTAACAATGAAAAGTAAATAAATAACAAAAAAGCTAGTAAAATAAAAAGAAAAAAAATGATCAAAATAGGAAAAATTGATTAAAACAAATAAATAAAGTGTAGAAATTAAAAATGTTTAATCCATCATCACTCACTTTAAAGTCGTAAGTTGATACAAGACAACATAAATATGGTGGGGCCAAGTTGTAAAAAGCGGTGTAATAATATACTAAATGTCTAAAAAGAGTCTGTGCTCTTATAGGTATCTAGTGGTGTTGTTTGAGAATAGGGGTTATGTGTCTGTCACCAGGTGCGCGGGTAAGACCTCAAGCAGAGATATTTTGAATACGCTGCAGACGTAGTTTAGACTTTAGTAGTCAGATTTAGTTTAGCTTGTGGACATCCATAAATACAAAAAACAAAAAAATCAGTAACTTCTGAGGAAAAAAAGAAAGAAAGAAAGAAATCAATTATCTCATAACCAAAAAATAAATCATTTTACCGAGCATAATCATCTAGTAAACTTGAAGCAAAACAACATGCCGTTTGACTTGTAGCGTGTGGACATTCCGACAAAAAGAGTGAAAAAACTTTTCTATTTCGCCAGGAAATCACCGATAAAAAAAGGAACGAGATTTGACTTCACTGTGAAAAGCATGGGACAAATACCAGAGCAAACTTTCATGATTTCATTTTTTTACTTTTAAAATCTAAACAAAGAAACGGATTTGATATCCCTGTATTTTTTAAAAACTGTAACCTTTATTTTTGCAATTTTTCATTAACAACAATAAACCAAAACCAAAAATATTGTACACGTACGGCTATTTTCCTCTCAAAGAGAAAGAATGAAGGTTTGGGCTGATTTTTCAAGATGTAAAGACCGTATTCTTTAAATAAAAAGGAAATATGTTCCTTTTTTCATTTTTTTTTTCTGACGAAGCGGGAAAAAAATCACACGGAAACCATCAACCAATATCCTGTGCGGCTATAGCAACGGCGAGGACTTTATCAAGCACAGTGGATCATAATACATGTACCGGCAGACATTCATAGTACCTTTATACATGTATTTAGAGAAATCTCTATAATTAAGATATATACAATTTACTACTACACCATAGCGCAAAACTGAGACCTCAGCTGGACATACGACAGTACTTACTGAACCCGGGCACAAATTCTCTTTGTCGTTTTCATTTGCGGTTGCGTGTACTTGGTTATATTTCTCACTTTCGTTGAAATCGTGTCCCTCTTTTTCCATTCTCTAATGATGTTCGCTACTTTGCACGTAAAGGCCTTTCTGTTGTTAAGGAGGTGTAAGTCACGAGCCCTATTCCTCTCTGGCGTTCATAACGTGTGTCAGTTGTGAAGTGTCGGGGTAAAAGAGCCTTAAAGCCTTTATACTAGGTCAGAAAAGGTAAATAGTGACGTTCGTGTGGCACCTTGCCATAACGTACATATATGTATATTACCTTGATTACTGTATCTATGCATGACTCATTACGCCTCTTTGTCTATTATACTTAATTTGCTCCGAGTTCTTGGCCTGGATTTTTTCCCAGTTTCATGTGCATTCGTGCATTTTTTCTCTCTTTATCTTTTTTTTCCAACATGAGTCCTATTAAGTCCCTTTCTCGTTTAAATCAAGTGCTGTGCAACCCAGATTTCTATTTTTCCTCTATGAAGGTTGCTGTCGTGATTTTGACAGATCAAAGTTGGCATCTCTGTACGTTAATATCTTGTCCTTATATTTAAGTGAGAAAATGGAACTGATAAACTTGCATCATAAGAATGCAACCGGTTTGTTTTTGCCTACAGCACCTCACGCGGTGCTTCTGTACCTGTAAAAACGTGCTTACGTGATTTGAATGTTGGCTCTGCACTTCTCTCCAGTAAAATATGATACATCTGTCAAGACCTCGACAGCAATTTTCTTAACTGACACGCAGAGGCGGTCCCATTGATGCACGCCCTCTTTATCCTCTTATAACAAGCGTTGTGAATGTAATTGACAAGAAATTGTGTAATCGAGTTTGACTGGCTTCCCATGCCTAGATCGATCCGTCTGGATTGGTTTAACTCCCTGGGGAGTCCCACATAATTGCTGTCAACTTAACCGGCTTAAATATGTCTGTCACGCCTACCGAATCAGCTAGGGAGTAAAGATAATTACCCCCTAACAGCTTTACTAGGCGTGGCGGACATTTGAGACTCCCCAGGGAGATAAATCGATTCAAATATCTGTGGGAATGGTCCCTTTGACTGGGTTCCCATGCCGAGAACGATCTAACAGGATTAACCCATCTCCGAGGTGTTTCTCGTTAAATTGCTTTCAGCTTAAGCGGCTTAGATGTCTGGCACGCCTACTGAAGCTGCTAAACCATAGTTAATTACCCCCTTGCGGCTTCAGTAGGTGTGAGAGGCATGTAAGTCTGTTTTTCAGCAAACGTCCATGTGATGTACATGACGCCATGGTGTAATTAACATGGTCGTTAGTTATCAACACTGCCATTGGTTTACTCGGGAAACCCCCCGGTACCCCAACCAACCTAACTCAATGTAACATTTACGACCTTGACGTTCTGCTCAAAAATGACGCAATCGCCTATGCAATCGTACTCTCCTGAGGCGAGAAAATATAACGAAAAAAAAGATTGGGAACAGCCATCTAACCATAAAATGGTTCATAATCCTAATTCATTATACAAAATAAAGTGTTGTGTTCTTTGAGAATTTATTTATTTGTTTCTAAACGATAGTTTCAACGAAATATTTATAATTTGAAACACAGGTACTGCGTCTTAACATGTTTTGCGCCAGCTTTTTAGGAGAGTCCCATGGTGGGGGGGGGGGGGGGGACGGTTCACGGGAAATTATATCATCAATACACAAATATCAGTGCATATTCATATCTTACTGATAGTGCTAGTCGGAAATCCTGAAAATCAAGAAATACCGGGTGTAAAGACTTAGGTTAACGAAGGAGGAGGAATAAAAAAAGCCCCATTCACGAGTCACGAAAGTGGGGTGCTTCACGGATCACGCTAAATAATACGAACGTTTCACGCATCTCAGGCAATAAAAAGTGGCCTTCACGGGTAACGAAAATAGGGGCCTACTCTCTGGAACCCACTTTGAAGTAGTGTGTATTTTTATTTGCACGCGTTTGCTTCTAAGAACCTTCCGCCGCTGTGAGCAGTGGAAATGGAGGCGAAATGGACCTATTGCCGCCCAAAACACACACACAAAAAAAAAAAAAAAAAAAACAAGCAAAGGATCTAAAATACGTATTAATAATTAATAATTATGCGCTAGTAGTTCCTCTATTTTTAATTTAGGCCTACTAACTGTTATCTTAGTCATTAAAAATAGGTCATCTGTAGAGCTACCAAAAGCTACCAAAATTATCAATTTTCTTCAAATTTTCTTGGGCCGTGATGACTGATTATTAAGGTAAAACTGGCATATATTTTGAATGGACAGAGTTCCTATCAGTCACAGTGATACTTAATATGTTTAGTTTAAAGCTACCTATCGATTAATAAAATGAAAGCTAAGGTAGAAAGAAAAGAAAACCATTTTTTATTTTCAATTTTATTTCAGTAATTTTTCTTTTCTGTCAGTCTATATTTTTTGCAAGGAATAATGGGTGTTCAGGTCGCCTGAAAAAAGACCCAAACATATTAAGTATTATTATTATTATTATTATTATTGTTATTATTATTATTATCAAGACTATCCCGACTGTTCAGTGCAGAGTTTCCATGCACCGTAAATACAACTTTCTTTTCGGTCATTCACCCAGCTTCATTGTTACGCCTGATATTTTCGGATACCTACCGCAAAATAACTATTAACTTTTTTTAACGTTTTTCTCCAGTCTGCATAACTGCACTGGTTACAGTGAAATTCTATACAAGTAATACGTCCTTCGCGTGATTTGTTCCCATTTCATCCGCCCTTTTTCTCCTAGCTTGAGGATAAAAGACCTTGCCATGTTTTTTTTAAGTAACACAGCAAAGCACTAAAGCCAGATTTTATTACTCTGTGTAACACAGTAACTTTATGACGAAAACCGAAAGCACTGGACTTGTGTCTTCCTCGCACATGTATTACAACTTCCAGTAACATTTGCAGACATACCGGTAGATCTCCCGGTGACAGCCAATGACAATGCTGCTTTCATGGGTCAATCTAGTAAGCAGAACTTAGGTCATCGTGACATTTTGGGTCAACAGTTTAAAGGAATCATAACTTTGGCGGGGAAAGCATTATTAAACAGATTTTCCTCGGGCACACGTCGCTTTTTTTCATACTTCCGACACTCAAAGTTAGCCCACGTTTTTTTTATGGGAGAAAGAACACTTCGTATTATATGAGATCAATATATCTCAACAAATATATTGTAAATAATTCATAGAAATACACTAAATTCTATTTTACCACCGAAACGGCTGTTATCAGAGTTATTCTGGAATCTGTGCTGGCTATCGGACCACCTAACCTCCATAGATGGCTACCCTCTGTAATAATCTCTTAAGTGATGTGGAACGCTTATCACTCCGCAAACGTTACAGAACCTTTTGACTCCACGCGCAGATGCGGCAGGTGCGTCCTCAAATCCAGAGGATACTATACACATTGCTAAAATGTGGCTTTAAGTTTTCACTCTGGTGAGCTCATTCATTGGTTATACAATTAGCTAATTTTTTTTGCGAAAAAAAATCCTTTTAGAAGTTGAAAAGAGAACATTGGTTCACGGCATGATTTTCTGTGTGACTTCACGCATTGCGTTAGGGGTGACACTTTTCTTACTAGGGGATTATATTTTATTGAAAAAAGACAGTCAACAAGTACACCGCCACGAGTGCTGTTTCCAGGTGTGAAAGGAGTGGTAGTCCGCTATGAACCGTAGTCCTACCCCCATTACTTTGTACAGGTGACGGTCTCTCCATAACTTACCCCAATATACCGACTAATCCTAGCCTGTACAAATCACGTGCGACCCCGGACTAGACCAAGCACCCCTGCCACACCTGTATTCTTAGCAAAATATCAGGCATGCTGCAAATTTGCAACAAGTTCGCTGCAATATTGTTGCAAACTGCAATTTCTTCTTGCACATTTGCAGCAAATTTGCTGCACTATGACTTCAAATTAGCAGCAATAATTTTTTTCTTGCAAACTCGTTGCTACAAACTTTCAGCAAAAAGTAGGGAGTCTTGAAATATAAATAAGTTTTTTATCTTTCAATGAAGTTTTCCTTAAATTTCTATTAAAATTTGCACTTGCAATAAATCATCCTTTAGACCTTCTCATCATGCGTTATATTAAAGGATGAGTGCGAATAAGGGGGTAAAAGTGCCCACTTTTGTACATGAAAAATAAATTGTGAATGAATGGAAAAAAATTGATGCCAAATTAAAGTTGGGGTCTTACACTTTTATGATCCACTTAAAAAAATTATTTTTATTGAATTTGAAATATGAAAAATTAATGTCAAAATGACCTTGTCAAATATTCATGAAAATGTGTGTTTTAGGGGGGGTCTGAATTGCAATGCTACGTATCTTTAGTTACAGTAAGGTGACAACTGTGAAATTTTGTAATTGGNTTATTCGCACTCATCCTTTAGCACCATATGGTATGGGGTGTTTGACATTGACCTATTTTAATGCATCTTTTATTATTTATCTACCATTTTTCATACAAAGTATCCTAGTATCATATACCACTATACACGTAAGTATAAAATATCAACAGATCTTGTCTAATTAAATTTCATGATATCTTTCGACTTTCTTTTCATGCTACTAGTTTTCTACAGTTAAATCATGTCTTTTTATAGAGTGCCTACACTAAAAACAAAAATCAACAATATTTACATTCAAGAGTGGCACGAGTATGCATGTAGGATTACGTACGCTATATGTTTTTTCGTTTATTTTTTTTTTCTTTGTAGCGTTTCTCGTTGCGTTGTCAAACCGGACGACAGTTAAGGATGGTCCATTTGTAAAATTACAATTTATCATAAGATATACATGTAGAGGTGATCCAATCCATTTGATTATATATTTGTACCCTGCAATTCTGCATAAGAAGGACCTTTGACAAGGTATGGGTGCTTAAATACATTTTGCATTTATTGTTGCTCCTTGCTTTCTCATCCCTCCCAACCTCCTTGTTGTTTTGTCAGTCCGCGTTTGGAAACACCCAACACAACTGTTCTTCAATATGTTGTAACTGCTCATGCTGCTGAATCATCAAATTCAGGAAGTCCTGATGTTGCTGCAAAAGGAACAGGAGACATCTATCGGTGGAAGAATCGTCGTCTTCGCTCTAGAAAGATAAGGCTATACATGTGAGCACTTTATATAATACAGCTGAAAACAAATCTTAGACGTATGATGGAATAGAAAGCAGAAAAAAATATTGTCTCTGGACGTTATTAGTTTGACGATATTCATTCACAGTTTACTCTTCGTTTCTTTTTGTCGTCTGTTTTTATGTATTCATTTATTTATTTTATTTATTATAAATTTTGTGTGTGAAATGTTTAAAATCACGACAAGGGTCAGCAGATAGAAAGTGCAGAAAGGCTGAGGTCACGAGTGTGGGTTACATCATCCACAGCAGACGCTGACCTTCCGTCATTCACGTTTCTCTCTCACGTGGCATGAACTCATCTTAAAAGAATTTTGGTTTGAATAAACTTGTTTTTCAGTTGTTCATTCAATTGGCGACGGAAGACGAAATTTGTTTAACTTATGACTAGACAGACGTATTTACAAGTAAAATTTTACTAGATAACCCCTTACCGCGGTTTGGTTGGAATGAGGACTTGCACAGGCTGCGTCTTTCGCATCGGTGGTTGCCCCAGCTTTCGTACCCTGGTCCATATTTTTGTCGCACGTGCATGTAACCTGATATGAAACACGAAGGTTGAGTTTCAATTCGTTTTGTGTGTGCGTGTGTGTGTGTGTGTATGTGTGTTTTATCACTTGCTTCGCATCGTAGAACTTTCTCTATACACTCAATTTAGTATATTATTTACATTATTTGTGACTCTGGGCTTGTCAGCAAGTCACTTGTTTTGTAAGATATATACTACCAAAGAACTAAATTTAGGATGTTTCTTTATTTTCAGAGGAAAGAACGAAAAAAATTTTTCTTTCAACGAGTGCGATTTTCAAATTTATCCTAAAGTAGTTTATTTGCCTCTACCTGTCTCGAGCAAAATGCATGCCAATATTTTGTCACTTCCCGAGGAAAAAAGGCGCAGTGCTTTTAGGGTAGTATTTGCATTGCTTAAAAGGTAAAAATTTGTAATTGTAATGCAACCTTTTTGCACTAGAAATAAGGGGGTCAACCGCAAACTCTTCATTATCAGTTTGCGTGAAAGTTTTTGTTTAACGATATGGGGAATAAAATAAGATTTCCTCTTACACTATGTAATCCCGACAATTTCTATTTAAAAAAATAACTTCAGGACGAGGAAACAATTAATCAGTACTTCAATTTATAACACGCCTGCATATATCATTGTGCAGTATTTACTCTGGGGATATATTACCATCTCAATGCTTACCGAACCAGGCGTCAATGCATTACTGCCGCTTTCTTTCCCAGTTTCTTGTTCATTTTCTCCACTTTCACGAAAACTTTGCTCCTCTTTTTCCATCCTCTGATTATCTCTGCTATTTCACGGGTACGTCCTCTCCACTCGTTGTTGAGCAAAAGATGGGTGCTTCAAGAGCAGGTTACCCCTCTGGCGCTTTCTGCGAAAATACCGTAGTCTTTACATACAAACCTGTTTTTGTTTTGCGGTTGTTCACCCAGGCCGCCGTCAACGCAGTGCACTCCGTTTCGGTAGCATGTCACTGTGACATAATAGGCCACAGGTACTTTAGTGCATCTAAGTCGTTTTCTTCGTGCAACGAAGACTGAAAAAACTGTCTAGGATCATTGGTGTGGCTTGCATGACTGAGTTCAATCTATTGTCCTTAATGTGCGTTTTTTTTTAAAGGCAGGGGCGGATTGATACTGTTTCCTGGGTCTTCCGGAAGACGGTCAGATTTAAAAGTTTACATTGACGGGTATCTAGTTTTTTTTTCTCTCTCGGAAGACGGTGAAATGTGGAGGATGGATCAACAAAGATAATTTGAAAGACTGTCAGAAAATATCTCTGGATCCACCCCTGACTGGTGTTATTCAATCTTAAGTGCATCTGCTTTTGATGCTGATTCAGCCGCGATGTAATGTTTGTACGACCGGTGCTAGCTAGAAATGTTAAACTCTCACAATTCTCGGTCGTTTTCTTCCTGCTCTGGCCACATATTCGCATTTATACCAGACCAGCATATTTAACTTAAATCCCGTTTAAACCGGACTGGCGACTGCTGTGAGAACGATTCTTTTGGTATACCCTCGCCAACAGTAGCAGGGAGTCGCCCTGAGGTTGCAAGATGGTGTCAGGCGGTCCTAATAGTCTCCCGGGCCGTATATTTCTTGGTTTTCATCATTCTTCGTCTGTCACCTAGAGTTATGCGAATGTGTGGAACTGTTCAAACTACCCGCAAAAGTGTGTGATGTCTGATACTAGGAATGGATTTTACCTGCTGAACATGAGAGAGGAAAAAAGAGTAGGGAGAGAGAGATGGCGGGGAGATTTTGAAAGTTAAAAGGCGGTTAAAAAAAGAAAAAAAATGGGTGTCACAATTCAAGGTGTACCTAATCGAAAACCGTCACCCACATTTTAAATACGATCGATCTGAGTTCTTTACTCCTCATTTCTGAGACTCCTCTCGTATTGTTGATGATGACTCGTGAGAACGCATTCAGCATAGCGGACATACAGATCCGCGGATCAAATATGGCCGGCATACTTGAATGCTTGTTGCGTAATCTCCGCTGGGAAACTATTCAGTGTCTAATCGGGAATTCATTGGCGCGCCTTCTAGTGGGTCGCCATATTTGATACGGGGATATGTTAGTCCGCTGTACCGAATGCGCTCTGAATTTCGGTCGCGAAGGTCAAAAAAGAAATGAATGACTCAAACATAAGTTTATAGATTGTAATGTTCTTTAAGATTTTAGTTACAATTTTGTGATTGCTAGTTATTTGTTGAAATTTCCAAAAAATTTTAGTGAATTTATTTAATACATTTTAGAATTTAATATGATAATCATAAATTTTTTGCTATTTAAAATCTAAGGAGTATTGTATTTTTATGTATAGTTATACAATGTAAACAAGAAATTCTAACTGAATGAGAAAGTTGTAGCAAAAAAAAAAAGATGAAAAGAAAAGAATGAAAAAAAGAAGGGGGAGTCAAAAAAAGTGCCCCCGAAACTACATATCTGCTTCAACAAAGCCATTAAAAAGAAAAATTAACACAAATATCTAAAAAACATACATAAAATAGCAGAAGTAGAAGTAAGAACTCCGGTGTAATGGGGGCCTAAATACGTCTCAACTTCTAATTTATCTGAAAATTAGAAAGGCTATTGAAAGTAAAGACAACCTTTAAGGTGATTAACATTACACAAATTTAAAAACAATCGCGCATTGGGGTAAACGACGATTTTTCCATTAATATTTTTATGTTAAAAAAAAACAATTTATTAATCAAATGAAAACTAAGGTAGAAAGACAATAAAACGTTTTTTAACTTTAAATTTTATTTCAGTGATTCTTCTTTTCCGTCAATCTATATTTTTTGCAAGGAATAATGGGTGTTGATAGAGAGGAATCAGGTCGCATCTCTCCGAACCCCTCTTGTTGTTTTGTCAGTCCGCGTTTAAAATTAGAAACACCAAACACAACTGCTCTTCAATATGTCGTAACTGCTCATGCTGCTGAATCATCGAATTCAGGAGGTCCTGATGCTGCTGCAAAAGGAACAGGAGACATCTATCGGTAGAAAAATCCTCGTCTTCGCTCTAGAAAGATATGGTTATACACATGATCACTTTATATAATACAGCTAAAAACAAATCTTAGTCGTATGGTAGATTAGAAAACAGAAAAAAGTCTGTGGTCGTTATTAGTTGGACGATATTCATTCACAATTTACTCTATGTTTGTTTCGAGCTGTCTCTTTTTTATTTTATGTATTCACTTAACATTTTTTGTGAAATATTAAAAATGGCGACAAGCATCAGCAGATAGAAAGAGAAGAAAGAATGAGGTCACGAGTGTGGGCTATATTCACTGCAGTTTCTGACCTTGCTGTAATTCTCGTTTCTTTAGTTAACTCACATGGCATAAACACATCTTAAAAGAGTTTTGGTTTGAATACACTTCTTTTTCAGTTGTTCTTTTAATTGGCGACGGATGAGATTTGTTTAACTTATGAGTAGACAGTCATGTTTATTAGAAAAATTTTACTAGATCACCCCTTACCGCGGTTTGGTTGGAATGTGTATGAGGACTTGCATAGGTTGCGTCGTTCTCATCGGTCGTTGCCCCAGCTTTCGTACCCTGGTCAATATCTTTGTCGCACGTGCATGTGACCTGATGAAACACGAGGGATGAATTTCATAATCTTTTTCACATGGCATGGCTATTCACTCAATATAGTATGCTATTCAAATGATTTCGTGCATCTCGCCTGTGTATTAAGAATGTATATTGTGTAACATTATATAAGTATAATTTTTTTCTCTCATTTATTCACTATATATATATTAACCTTTTAAATATATATATATATTAAAAAAAAAAAAGAAATTTGTTAATTTTCCTTTAACGAGTACCGTTTTCAAAACTATCCCGAAGAAGTTCAAATAATTATTGTCACTTCCCGCAGAAAAAAAAAAGCACGGTGCTTTTTAGGGGAGTATTTGCATTGCTTAAAAGGTAAAAATTTGTAATAAGACCTTTGTGCACTAGAAATATGGGGGTCAACTGCAAATTCTTCATTACCAATTCGCGTGAAGGTTGTTGTTTAACTAAATGGGAAATAAAATAAGATTTTCCCTTAAACTATGTACTCACATTATGATGTCGTTGACAATTTTTATTTAAAAAGATAGTTTCAGGAAACTAGGAAAGAAACATAAAGTACCACTTATTCGTTTCAATCCGAATCCAGATTGAAAATTTAATGAAGATGTTAAATTCGATGTTCTTTCAGTTTATCACAGATAGAGAAAATAAAGAGGGAGGTTTTTTCAGGTGATTCTGAGCATGGTGGTCTTTATATGCTAAATATGTCTGACTTTATAACATCGTTCAAATGTACTTGGTTAAGAAGAACTCACACGCACACACACACACACACATATATATTCTTTTTTTATTCACGAAAATTAATACAGGACATTTACAACAAAATGAGAGACAAAGACACCTTCCACACACCATTCACACACTACAAAAAAGTTCTTACAAATGTTGATTAAAAATACATGTAGAATTTTTTAAATAAAAGAATCTTGGTAGGCCTAGGCTATGACAAATGATCTTTTTTATTCATATAAATATTTTTCTATACTTTCCCATTTTATTCTTAGATCAACTGCCTTTTGAGGACTCAGTAGGTATAAAGACCGAAAATCTACTTTCTTTTGCTTTTCCAAATACTTTTTGCAGGCATTCGAGAGAGGTGTAATTTTATTCTGTCTACGTAAAGTGAAATATTTCTTTATGTGAAGAAGTAGTAGATTAATACCTAACATATTATATTTAAAAAGCATCGAATTCGTGAAGTAAATTCTATGTAAAATTTTAAATTGCAATGTGAGTAGTTTATGATCATTTGTTTCTCGAAAGGGCAAAGCATGAACTAACTTCCACTTTTCAAGAGCTAACATATATGTTCCACTTCTTCAAGCTTTATTTTGTTGTGATATATGAAAGTACATGTTCAATTTCGGAAACACTTACTAAAACCCCATTCCCAGAGAGTAGATCGATCCAAACTAGATCGACCTAACTCCCTGGGGGTTCACGCTAAATAGCTGTCAGCCGAGCGGGCACGAAAGTTAATTACCCCCTCACAGTTTGTAGTAGGCGGGACGGACATTTAAGCCGGATTATCTGTCAGTAATCTAGTAAGACTCCCCACGGGGATAGATCGATCTAAAATCTATGGGAATACGCAAACTTATTAAGGACTGCAGTAACTACTTTTGGAAAGATATCATCTCTCAGAAAAACGTAAAAACATGCCTTTATAATAAAAAGAGCATAATCCCACCGGAGCCCATATGGTACAATTATAACTTGTGTTGGGTTTAATCCCGTGTTTATTAAGCACTGGTATACTAAAGGTGTAAAAATTGTTGGAGATTTTTTCGATGAAGATAGGATCTTATCTAAGGAGGAATTTGAAAATAAATTTACATTACCAAACTGCAGTGAACTCATATTCTGTGGTATACGAAACTCTATTAAGCACAGGACCAGGAACAAAACACAAATGATATTATTGAGAATACCCCCCGTCTATTTATCCCACAATCTGTAGAACTACTCCTTAAAAACAGAAAGAGAGGCAAAGACTTTTACCAATCGCTAAAAACCGGCTAAGGATAGGAAAATTGAAAAAAAATGTGGAACTTAGAATTAAACAGTGATAAAAAAGTGGAAAATTGTAAATAACAACTGTTTTAGGTCTACAAATGAAACCAAACTCCAATGGTGTCAGTATCGCATTAAACACAGAATCTTGTCGTTAAAATCATACTTAAAAACTATTGGTGTGGAGGAAGACGATGGCTG